CTTACCCTTAAGACAGGAGTAAATAATTGTGTGTTAATCATTTAAATAGCGAATATGTCTTTCTATTTTAATTAGTTGCTTATCTCGCTTCAATTTGCCTGCCGTCCTTATTCAAGCAGATCTTGTAATCGTAGCTATATTAGAACTCTATTTGAAAACGACCCGACAAGACGTTACGTTAAACAGATTTATATTACGGATGCTCAAAATTGCTAAATAAACAAAAATCACTGCACGAAAAGACTTGGTTATCATTACTACACAATCACGAATATCGCTGTCAATAAAGTGTACAACATGTGGCAAAAACAATACATAAAATCACCCCTTGTGATTACTTTTTTATTATCGAGTTCTAGTTTCTATCAAAGGTGACAAAGGTTCCTTTTACAACTATTTTAGCAATCAGTGTAGTTATGGGAGAGTGATCTGCTCAAATACTGATTCGTTCATTATGTCCTCAATCAGCCTTTATAGAATGCAAGTAAACGTATGACGTTCTTTCATACCAGAAAAAAACACACACACACACATATATATATATATATATATATATATATATATATATATATATATATATATATATATATATCCTCACCGACTTCACTAATCGGAGATTGCGTTGTGCATGAAACTCCGAGTTGTGATATCGGTGATGGATAATATGTATATTTATTTATATATACTTAATAGCTCTGTTCTATTACATTGAGCACTATTTTATTAACATTCGGACTATATGTGCGATATTGTATATATATATATATATATATATATATATATATATATATATATATATATAGTATTGACACAGAAAACCACATTACATAGCGGCTGTCATTTTCCTGCATTCAGGTATGATCACGCTATGTTACTATTATATGAGTGGGATATATATATATATATATATATATATATATATATATATATATATATATATAGCTTTTTTGTAACCTGTAGTCGATTTCTCTCACTTAAACCTCTTCCACTCACCTCTCCTAAACTTCTCTCTGTTAAGTTTTACTCTCCCTCCTTCTCTCGTCTGTTACCCCTCTCTTTAGCTCTAACATTCGTCCCACACTCTCATATTTACACACTCTCTAAATTCTATTTTTATTTCCAGAGTTGTTTTTTCTGTTTTCTTTTTGAATTTGTAGGTCTGATGAATTGGATCGTATTTACGATTACAATGGAATAAATTATGACCATGGAATATTAGTGTTTAAGCCTTTTTATTATATATATAGAGAGAGAGAGATAGATAGATAGATAGATAGATAGATAGATAGGTTTGTCTGGCTCACTAGGTGTATCTAGGTCTGCTCTACGGTTGTATTGAGCTCTTTTGTTAGTTAGTTGTTTACTTGTATCGGGGTTTTTTCTTTGGGCTTCAGACCTGCATCTGTGCGATTTTTTTGTCGGCAGAAGTTCATGTTTGTAGCTCTTTCTTTATTTAAAACCTTTTTTTTCCCTCGAGATTGATTTGATTAGCAAATCAAAAATTCGAGGGTTTTTCGAAACGAGTCTAGTTATCTATATTATATATATATATATATATATATATATATATATATATATATATGTATGGTACCACTTGATAATTCTGGTAAGTGAGAATAAATGGTAACCGATTTTTCTTGTGCTTATCTTTGTTGTTTTGGGCTAAGAAAAGAGTGCTGAATTGCAACATCAATCCTCTTATATTGCACTGAATGTTGGACAATTTTCTTACAGATTAATTAGACACTTCAGGTAACAGTGATGTAGTTCGAGAGAAAGATGCTGAAAATAACATGGACGGAACATGTGAAAATGAGGAAATTTTAAGGAAGATGGAAACAATATGATCCCTTATACATAGAATCAGAAAGAGACTGTTGAAATTTCTGGGACATTTAATGACGGAAGTGACTTGGACAATTTTTAATATTGTAATAAGTTATTTTACGTCTTTGCCAAAATTGTGAATAATCTCTCAAAATTTCATTTTGTTTTTTTTAGTCGGTATCACCCCATGTTAGACAGTAAAACGACTAACACATAAAGGGCTGATCGGCTGTGAGAGAATTGGGAACAGAAACATTAATAATGAGCGGGAAGAGGAAAGAGGACAGTAGATAGCTATTGCAGATTTAAATTGGCTGAAAAGCATGGCGACAAAAGGGTGTTCCACAAGAACGTAAAGAAACTGTTAGCATAGAACTGAGGGTTACATCCATTTTGAAGTTTTGATTTGATTTCGAATATGTTCTGCTATCTCGGTCATAGTAAAAAAAATTGTCGACTGCTTCATCAATATCTATAATAAAAAAAATAATCTTTTCACAATGGCCACAGATGTATGACACTTTCTCGTAGGTTAAAATTTCAATTATCAAAACTTAGAGCAAATCGTACACATCGCTCACCATTTGACGAACAAGCAAAGTACAACTACCAATATAAGACATGCTCATTTGGAGATACCAGGAATGTGATTCTACAGAAGGATGCTGAGCATACCATGGACGAAGCGCCTAAAAAACAAGAAAGTATCAAGGAAAATTGAAACAAAGGTCACCTATACTCAGAATGAGAAAGAAGCAGTTGAAATTTCTTGCACACATAATGAGGAAAGAAGTCTTGCCACACAAAGGAAAAACGCGGCAAAGAGGGGGAAGCGGGTCTCCTGTTTGATGAGCTTGTTTGAATGGATGGCGCTACGGGTGTGAGAGGGATGGTAAAGAGATAAATGTTACTAAGAGCTACGAAGGATAGGACGTTGTAGAGAGTCATGATCACCCTCTTCCTGAATGATCACGGCACATAGAAGAAGAATATAAAACAAATATTAGTAGATTAGACTAAAACACTATACATTAGTCACTGTGAAGAACGATTTAGATATATTTGGAGCTATTATTATACAAGAAACATTCTCCAATAAATAAGATATCTTTCACCAGAGGAGACGCTATAAAATAATGTATATAAAATAATGTATACAAAATATTTCATGTTTAGAATACAGAAATTCACGAATCGATATTTTTCACTGGTTATTTTTTTAATCATTTCAATCCAAGTAAGGCAATAAAGCCACTAAGTCACAAGGGGTAACTGTGTGTGAGAGAATATGGAGAAAACACTATTAAAGAGACAGAAGAATACAAGAATCGGAAGACAGAAGATAACGATTGGCATTGCATTTAAAGTTTTGAAGATCAAACTTGACTAGGAAGCAAAAAGCCGGAAGTGAGTTCCACAGACGAGAAGTGCGAGGAAAGAAACTCTTAAGGTAAAACTTACGGTTACATCTCGCTATTACAACGGTAAAATAATGAGAACTTACGGCCAATCTAGTTCTACGCTTACGAATATGCAATATGATAGGTCCTGATCTGGCATTTAGTCCACAATCGCTATCCCACAGACGTGCCGTGGCCTCCGCCTGTCTCATCTATTTTTCACGGCAACTGTTCCGACGAGCTACTTTCGTTGGTTCCCAGACTGCATGAATTTAAGCGATCTACCAGGCTGGCATCTCGGGCCCACCCTTTCACTATCAAAACAGTTAAATATAACCGTCTCTTCTACCCAAACAGCTTCTTCTCTCGCACTTCCAGTCTGTGGAACTCCTTCCTCTCTACTTGCTTCACCGATGACTATAATCTTCAAATATTTGGGGTTCACTATTTGCCCATATCTGGGGCCTTAACATGCTATCTCCCGGGTCAGGGTGGACCTAGGAACAACATCAATTAAGAGGTATTTCCAGGTTCCTCAAAACCTCAAATCTTCTTCTATGTGACAACATCCTTTAGGATGTTGACAATTATGATTCTTCACAATGTTCTGTCCTTTGTAGATCTTGATATATATATATATATATATATATATATATATATAGAGAGAGAGAGAGAGAGAGAGTTATTTTTACTAAACCTTGCTCTGCCATCCATTTACTCAAGCGTACTAGGCAGATTATTTTTTGTTTTCCCCTGTCCTTCTTGCCTTCAATCTGTCCCGTGAGTATCAAATTTGCCAAGCCCTCTTTCATCATTATGTGCCCTAGAAATGTCAACTCTTTCTTCCTGATGTCAAGTATAAGTGTCCTTTTTGTTTCCATTTTCTCTAAAACTTCATCATGGCTCATATGTTCGGTCCATGGTATTCTCAGCCTCCTTCTGTAGAACTATATTTCTGTTGCTTCAAGTCTCTTCTTCCTCCGTGAGGAGATTGTCCAGCATTCACTGTCAAATAGAAGGACTGATATTACATAACAGTTCAGTACTTTTTCTTTGTTTCTAACACAATTTGTTTCTTAATACTTTGCTTAGCTTTTGGAAAGCATTTTTCACTATCCCAATGCGCCTCCGGATATTAGTATCGTACTTTCCGTCCTGTATTCAGAGAGTTCCTAGATATGAAAAAGGTTCGACTTGATTGATTTTTATGTTTCCTGTACGTTGTGCGCATCTTGGGCTGTTCATTTTGCTGATAATCAGATATTCTATCGTAAAAATCAAGCGTTTAAATGTTTTATGTGTATTACGGCCATATAGGAAGAAAATGAATAACTACTGACCCCAAGGTTAGAGCGTGACACTCTGGACTAATGAATATATATTTTCCGCCAGGTGTACAAATAGCGATGTCAGGCTACTGACTGATGTGACTATTGGAACTATCCAGTCGAATTAGTGTGAATTGTTGTGCGTCGATAATTTGGGTTTTGATTTAGGATTTGCCGGACCTTAAGCCGAGCCGTGCTACTAACACGATATTCACTGAAATGGTTAATTATCTATGCTTGACTTTTACTTCTTTGTTCTTGTTAAGTACTTATTTACGGTTGTAATTAAATATTGTTTTATCTTAACATTGAAGTCTTGAGTCATACTTAGTTATTAATGGGCACGGTACGTCACAAAACTTCTTCTTCCTTTCGTTAACGTAGATTTTTGTTCTTTTGAAACAAAATTATTTTGCCAATAACGCCGGTTTATAACCAAAACGGGTTACGGCCACATCACGTTGAAACACTGGTTCCTGCCCGATCAACAAAGTTAAGCGACGTCGAGCCTGGTCAGTATCTAGATGGGTGACCGCTTGGGAATATTAGGTGCGGTAAACTTGGGTGGTGTGATGGATAATGGCTGAGAAGTGTCAATCGGTGAGCCGAGTTCCTATTCCAGTCAGGTTCGTTATATTTATTTACGCGCAAATACTCTTGGGGAAGGTATGAATCCACCACTTCTCCCCCAGCTATGGGTTAAATAATGACTTGTTTCGTTAAAAATATTATTATTGGCAAAAAGAAAAAAAATTATGTACACAATATTTAGATTTCGGCATTTAATAACCTACAGAGGGTGATAGGCCGCTAAAAAAAAAAAAAGACCGATCATCATAGCCGAAAGGTGTCGATGGAGAAATTATCGAAATTGTCTTTTCGACACTTTCAGAGAGAAAGAAAAAGGAGTGGGGTAGAAAAATTATTAAAAAAAAAACTGAAACGAAACGAAACAGAAGAAAATATTAAAGCGTGATATGAAGATTATTCGAGACCTCAGAGTATCGTTTACCTGTCGGCGTTGATCATTGTTTACCGATCAAAAAGAAAGAAAGAAAAAAAGAAAGAAAGAAAAATGTACGAATATACCCACGCGGTGTACGCACATGGCCTGATTTTATTTATTTATTTATTTATTTATTTTTTATAAAGATTTTATTTTTAAAGAATAAGAATTGAATGACAAGGAAAAGCTGTGACTAACTTAGAAGTTTAACTTACAAATTACCATATCCATCTGTCCGCATAACACAAACACACACAGACATACATACGCAACCAAACGCCCAAGACCACACACACACACACACACACACACACATATATATATATATATATATATATATATATATATATATATATATATATATATATATATATATATGCATATATGCACGAGGTGGGTCTTAAAATTTGTGGAGCCTGATCAGGTAGCCCTTCCTATGAAAATTACGCGCTGGTCTATTTGATCAAATTTTGGGGTGGGTCAGTATTAGGATGCTTCAGCACGTCCCTCTCCTTTTCTAAATATGTATCTTTCTTTATCTTTTTCTTTCTTTCTATACACACACACTCGCACACAGACACACAGACACACACGCGCATATCTGTCTATCTATCTATCTATCTATCTATCTATCTATCTATCTATCTATTATATATATATATATATATATATATATATATATATATATATATATATATTACTTTAAATTAGGTACCTCCAAAATTCGGTATACCTAAGGTTTAAACGTAATTTCATAAATGAAAAATCTTTCTGGAAGATTTCTTTTTAGCCTCGGTTGAAAGCTAGAGGATTAAATTTTCTAATTTCAGAACGTAAAATACAGTGGTGTATTTCAACAAAATTAAAATGATTTTTAGTCGATCTTTTTATTTTTTTCAGAAAAACCAATCGAAACGACCATTTTTGATTTTTTTTGACAGATTGTAAACAAAACTTAATCCTGAGTATTAAAAATCTTGCAAATATGAAATACATATTTCTGAAACGTTATTTGCGGAAAATTAGCACATTTAAAGTTAGATCAATCTGTTCTGAAACAAATATTGCTCATAGCATAAAAAATTCTATAAAAGCATTCTTGACCACGGGGTCTTGTTATTCTCACGTCTCCATCGATGGTGTTAAGTATGGTAAACCAGAATTGACATAAATTTAGGAATTCTAAGGAAAAACAGTTTGTTTTTGTTATTTTTTAACTATCTGGTATTTTAAAAATTAAGAAAATATTTTAAGCAATTATCTAATATTTTTTTGAATTTTTTAGGTACTTAATCTTACAATTGAAAATGCTACCTGAAAATATAATAAAATTTAGTATACTATAATTTTTTTTAAATTAATAATATTTCATAAATTATTGAATTACCTCTAATTTTTTAATCCTTTCTACAACGTTCGAAATTTTGGTTAATTTTTTTCCGTCTGCGGTGTATACATTTTAATTTTTTTTTTTTTCAAATCGGATTAATTGAACTTTAAATTTGCTAATTCTTTCTCAAATAACGTTTCAGAAAAATATATTGTATTTTACGAAATTTTTAAAAGTGAGAAATAACTTTTGTTTACAAAAAATGGGAAGTTTTTATCGCTTTTTTTACCTACAAAAAATACAGAAACATTCTAATCAAGATATAATTTTTGTTTGAAATACACCAGAGTATTTTGCTTACTGGGAATAGTAAAAAAAAAAATTAATCATTTAGCTTTCAATGAAAGCTAAAATGAAATCTTTAAGAAATGTTTTTCATTTTTTGTTTTTTAACTTCATTTTTTTTAAACTTAGGTACCGAGAATTAGTGGAGATACCTACCACAATTAAAAATAAAATGAGAAAAGAAAACTGATTTTTAAATGTAAATGAACTAAAGTATAAAAAATAAAGCATTAGGTTTAAAATAAAATGAAGGGTTACATTTCTAAGGATTTTTATCAAAATATAATTCATAAAAAAGAATAAAGAAACTTTTAAAAATTTTAAAATCTAAATAAAAACAAATTATTTTTCTTAACTAAGTAAAACTAAAAGGTTTATGAGCAACAAAAAAGGTGAACCTTTTCACGATCATGTTGCATATGAAACACCATACTTTAAAAAAAGAACATTTAGACACAGAAAAAATTATTTTAAAATATTGTAAAAATTTTTGGTAGGATGATTTGTATTAAGCGTTTCAATTTTCACTTAGAAAATATAGTTTTCACTTAATAACTTAATAACCTAATTTTGACAATGTTTAGAAGAATTTTAAAATATTTTTGAAACTTTATAATTAAAAAAAGAAATTTGCAAACAATTCTTGTAAAAATTCATTGTCCATTAAATTTTTTCCCTTCAATCTGTAATATCCTTAATATATATTATTTATAAAAGCAATTAAACGCTTATTTAATTAAATAATTAGATAGTTTTATTACAGTTTTTATTTTACGATTTGGAGCAGATTTTAAGGAACATGGTAAGAGTTTAAAAAAAAACTTGATCATTTACACTCTCCAAGGAGTCCTGATTTGAACAAATAAAAAATTTCTTGACGATTTTAAATTATAGAAAATTTTATGAAATTAAGAAATTATTACAACAAAAAACATTTTTCCCAAGACTTTCTAAAAATAATAATTTCAAAAATAAATTCATTCATTTGGGAATAAGTCCTTAAAGTTTCATTAAAATCTAACAATTATTTGATTTTTGCAACAATTTCAAAATTAATGTGTTATTTTACTGGAAACAGCGGCGCGAAAATGTTCATTAACAGCTATGTTGCACCGTCCACACACAAAAACAAGATTTTTAACAAATTTTAAGCGTATTAAAAAAAAAGTAAATTATTTTTAAAAGTGGAGGTACCTACTTTAAATGTTACATTTTACAAAATTAATGGAAACAAAAAGTGAATTCAGGCACAAGTTGTATGAGTGAAAAAAAAAAGTACGACTAATTTCAATGAACTTAAATATAAATGCACCCACACAAACGTTCATGCACAATTTGAATGAAAATGGAATGGGCATTTCTGTCGCGAGTCTTCATCTCATTTTTTATCTGGTAACATCTGGATAACACGAAAAGCGTATAAACTAATATACGCGTTCCTTTGAAGCCATTTTACCACTCCTGTTTTTAAACTGAATATATTTTCTGATAAGTTTATTATTTGAAATGGACAACATCTAAGATTTGAAATTTGATCATCTTGTCGTCAGCAAATACGCGGGCACCAAACTCGCGTACAATTAAAATAATGCTTTTTGAATTTTTCATATAACCATACCGTCCAAATTTTCAGATAGAATTCACTATCGATTGTCTGCGACAATAGAACGCTTAATTCCACGTTAGACGGGTAGGTTAAAATAAAAAGTAGGTTTGAAAAATACGTTCAAAATCTTTTTGTTTTCGGAACAAAAAAAAATGGTGGGTGCGGAGTTTAGAAAAAAATGGACTGATTGTGATAAACAACAAAAAATTTGAAAAAAAGCGGAAATAGGATGAACGTAGATTTTGAATAAAATTGGGTAGGTTGGTAAAAGATCAATATTTAAATAGCCGGACAGGGCCGTATATTTGGATATGAGAATACACTAGCTTCTTCATCAGATAACGCAGTGTATATTTCCCGTTCAATCTGACAAGCCCTGTGCAACAGGAAAAGGGTATAAGCTAAAATGTATGGCCCTTTGAAGTCATTTTGAACTGTTCCTTCAGAATTTAAACTCAGTATATTTTCTGATATTTTCTGACAATTTTATATAATTTAGTTTTTGAAACTTAATAAGCCATTTTAAATATTTGTTTTTTATTAGATTTAAATAAAATTTAAATGAAAATACATTCACACCTGAGCCAGGCTAATTACACATTACTGAAAGCTGAAACAGAACAACTATTGACTGGATTCCATAGTTATATATGTAGAGAGAACTGGCCAAGTGGTCATCTGTACAGTGACCCTACATTCACACCTGGACCAGTCTAATTACATAATGCTGAATGCTAAAATAGAACAGCTTTTGAGAAACATTTAACACAAAGAGGGAGACTGGATTCCATAATTATATATGTTGTGGGAACTGGTCAAGTGGTCATTTGTAATTTAAATAAAGCCTTTTGTCTTTTTTAGTTTTAGAAATTGATTATCTTACTGTCTTGCTGACAATAAGATAATCAAATTTCTAAAACTCATAGTGACGGAAAATATAGGATAAAATAAAGCATAGGAATTGTTTATTAATATTCTCTGAATATAAATAAAAATCAAATTCCAATTGATTTGTAATCAATGAATATTCAAGATAAATCATTTTACAGTTCCAATTGACTTAAAATTTGAATGGGCAATATGCAGTAAGTGTGTTCTTCCTATAATCCAAACAAATAAACGGCAAATTTTGTCTGGTCATCCGTGTGTCTCAAATCCTTTGAACTCAGGCCACATTTGGTCTACATAGATATTTTATATCCTTTTGGAATCAGGATGATCCTGGGATTGAAAATCTTCCCTTCATCCAGCATTGGGATTTGTGTCTGGAT